TGTTTCGTTTTACATTAAGTTCTAATGTTGTTTCATTCTTCAAACATTCTTCATTGTGTTATTCTGATTAACCTGACCTTGGAAGAAAAGAAGAATAAATAATCATTTTGTTTACATATTTCCATGATATTGTTTTGTCTAATAATGTACGTTTAATGTCTGTAATAAGTTATGTATGGGTAATCATATTCACATTTCTTTTTAGATATAAAATTTTTATTTTTTCATAGGGTTTTTATTCTCGAAAGAATGATAGTTCTAAGAAGTAGTAAAGTGTAAGGTGTGATTTATAAATTACTGGGAATCATTTTAAGAGATTTTTCTTTACATGCATATGTAGCGAACAAAACACTAGTTGGGAACAATCGAATGTATTTAAGCAAACATTACAGACTATCTCGGTAAATTCTGATAACCAAACAATGAACAGTCAATTTGCAAATTAATAACCAATTGTTTCAATCTTCACTGTTTCTTCTCTAATTCCATTGCTCATGCATTTTCCAAACGATTGCGCTTCATTTCAGTTCTTTCCTCATCGGTCTTCTACCAAAATACATTCTATGTCTGACCCACGCCATATACTACTTATATGGATATAAGTAGACAACACCACACTCGTCCACCCTTTAAAGCATTCGTTCATGCGGTGGTTCTGCTCGCCACGCCGCTATCTTCTTCCACTGCAGTCTGTGCCAAACTCTCCGTCAGAATGTCGAGTCTGCGGCGCGCTGACCTCCATAGCTCCGTCGACCTGCCGGGGCACCAACATCCGCATCCACCCGGCACCTGGGACGTTCAACACCCGTACTCCACCGGCCTGCTGAGCCATCTACATCCGATGTCCACCCAGCAGTCGCACGTCCCACTGCTCCTCTCCGTCGACAGCACCCGCTACAGCCAACGCCGCCCCGCCAGAACACTCCACTTGACGCCACCTCTCCTCACCAGACTGCCCCAACTAGCACCTCCACTCCAGACCCGCAGCGGCGTCCGCAGAACAGCACCCTTCCTCCTCCTGGTTGGCAGCGACACCAAATGTAGCGAACAAAACACTAGTTGGGGACAATCGAATGTATTTAAGCAAACATTACAGACTATCTCGGTAAATTCTGATAACCAAACAATGAACAGTCAATTTGCAAATTAATAACCAATTGTTTCAATCTTCACTGTTTCTTCTCTAATTCCATTGCTCATGCATTTTCCAAACGATTGCGCTTCATTTCAGTTCTTTCCTCATCGGTCTTCTACCAAAATACATTCTATGTCTGACCCACGCCATATACTACTTATATGGATATAAGTAGACAACACCACACATAGACATGAGAAAGGTATTTTATTTTATTTTATTTAAACACATAAATATTGGTACAAGGAAGCACCATATACACATGCGCCAAACAAATCTCATTTGATTTGTGTGAGGGCTGTGATACTGTTTAGGTGCCCAAACTGAAGCAGGTGGTTTTCATAGGGGGTCACACCCCAAGCCTTTGACCTAAAGGTCTGATCCACAAGGCAGTGGAGCATCGTAAGGAGATGCAGTCCCATGATAGCCGATGACCAACAGTTGATTCATATGCTATTTGTTCCATCAGGATAATGGGGCCCATGTGCATCATTGGTTTGGAATCAGGGTTTTCCAACCACCCTACGTGGACTTTCGGTGTTCACCAACCCGGTTAAAGCGCTTGAAATTTGCTTTTCGTCTTTTCACTTCCGTGAACAACACCACGAGAAGGCAGTGAGTAGGACTTCCCTGTCAGAGGCTATATACGCGTGGCTATGTGAGAGCATTTCAAGAGGTAGAGCTTACTCTCCCCACCATCGGTCGTACCAGGGCATTTGGTTGCTCTTATACGAGTTGGAAATAAGGGAAAGGGTGTATCTGGTAGCTTCAAAGTAGCCGAAAAAAGTTGTTAACGACGAAACCCAATGTTGCTAAACTGGAAAACCAAAGTGCTATCTGCCGTTAAACCGAAATCAACTCCAAATCAACTCTCACCATTTACGTTTATATACAATACGTTATATTAACACTTATCATTTCACATCACAAATCTCTTACACACTAATACATATACCTAGTTTAAACATTTTTGACGTTAATTGGATGACCTATTCAGTGTACAATAAACCTGGAGAACCATGTACCTATTTATATTCGATAATTTTGATGTTTGATTATAATTCCTTGAAAAATCTTGAACCAGATTGAGAGGTGAAACGTTGGATTTACTTCAAATTCATTCGCTGAGATTTTACAAATACATATTATTCCTATTGAATATCTTACATCAACTTGGCACCCAAATACTGTGAAACGATTCGCTGTAATTTAGACGAAAGTTCTTATATATAAAACTTTATGTTTTGCCAAGGTTTAACTCTTCACGATTCTTCGATTATATCCGACCATGAATAAAATACACTTTGATACCCAGCGTAATTCTTTAGACCACATGCATAGAACTGTGTTAAACATAACTTGTAGAACTGTTGCTTAATCAGTGTCATTTGTTTAATAACAGATCAATTGAAATGTCTCAGTTTTATTAGTTGAAGTAAATGATATTCTTGTCAACCAGTTGGACGAAATTCTGAGATGAGAGAGGCGTTTGGAAGAAACCAGCTCAGAACGAATCATATCTCATTCTTTATAACTAAAAATTTATAAATGGATATGAACTGCTGTTAAATTTCACATCCAACAATTTAAGAAATGAAATAATGGAGAAGATTTGCAGCTCTGGTGGGTACTTTTAATGGTGTTATGTTCTCTTAACTAGATTATTTAATTTCTAAGAGTTCAATGCCATTTTGAAAAACAACGTTCGTGCGCATTTCATGCAAAGTTAAGCACGAAAAGCGTTTCCTAGAATGACAATAAAATCGTCGGAATCAAACCATCTAGCTAACAGAAAACACCAACACCAAAAACTTTGAAGGCTACATTGAATTTTTTATTTGACTAGATAGGGTTGCTAAACTATTATCTCGATAGAAATCTGGTAGAATATTAAGTGAAATTAACTCTTTTGAGTTTTGTATGTCAACTTTTAATCGTTAACGTATAGCCTACTATCCAAGTGGATTCACATTATCCGGCTATTTTGCAAGTCTCATAACTTTATTTCAATATGAAAGTCTTTGAGTTTATCAGTTGATACTAAAGAAGTATTAGCTATCAAATGTTCACTTAACTCTTTCAATGTATAATAACGATAACTCATTTGAATATGATAAGAGAAAATTGAAAAAGATGAAGCACACTAGTGAATAGTGAATCAACTCTAAAAGAGTACATTGTCTTTCTCTCGATGATAATGTTGTCCAGAAAAACATCAGCATCGAGAGTATCTTTTAAAGGGCACTCATATAAAAGATTAAATAACATTACTTGTTTATTTACGATGTTTAGGACATAAATAGTATTGTTATTGATTGAATAAATGGGTTTATGAATTGTAGTATCCATCAATGTTAGAGTTCAGTGTACTGAAGTTTTTGGAATGACACTTTTCTGTTAAATGTATCAGAGCAACATCAAATATGTAACACAAACTATAAAGTCATCTACCATTGACACAAAAATCTATAGATTTCTATCGAAACTGAACCTTACGCAATGATATGTATTCCCTTGAAGTAGGAGTCTGTTCAATTCAGATGAGTTAATTTTTTAGTAAGAAAATAGTGTTAAAATGTCTAGACTTTTCATTTCTGCAAAAATCTGGGCGTAATGACTTAACATAAAGTTTTATCTTCATTTACTGAAGTGTTAGGTCATTCGAGTCCAGCGATCAGGTCTATGTGAATTCTTTTGCAAAGGAAACTAAATCTATTGAATATACAGTTGAGATCATCAGTCAATTGAAACTAGACCACTATCGAAAACCTGGAAGTACTGGACGGCCGTTTCGTCTTATTGTAGGACTGCTCGCAAGGCGGGGTCGTGAATACGCACTGCTGAGGAGTCCCATAATGGAACGAATCGGCCGCCGAGTACTTCCAGGTTTTTGATAGTGGTCTAGCTTCAATTGATTCATGATCTCAACTCTATAAAATTACTAAAATCTCCAACAAACCCCTTCTGCTATTGAATATACATTAATTAACCACTGAAGCACTCTTTTCATTGGATCACGATTTTGTTTTTTAATAAAACATTTCATCCTTGGATCATTTTCCAATAAAGGACTTTTTCATTACAAAAAGTGGACTTAGTCGATCTTTTTATTCAGACGAATATCGACTAGTGCTAAGACGAAGTTAATTTTTCTACATAACTTTCCACAGTAAACAAGATGGATCGTAGATTCAGTTCAGGGCGTATACATTTAATTGGATCATAAAGCATTTATACATGCTCAATTTATCAAATACTTAAATTTCAATATAGACCATGAAATTACAAACATTTTCAAATTGTATCATTTTTGAAACTACTTATAAAATACTTCAGTAGCCTAAAGTTATACCATAAGAATTTTGTTTATAAATTATTGAATGTTACATAAGACCAGAGATTCAAAATCTTTATTCACACAGATGAAAAGTATAGTTTTATATCAACTATGGGAAGTTCAACATTTCATTTATATATTCAAATTTTTGTTTGATTGTACATATATTCTTCAGATGACCTTCAAAATGTCTTAACTCCATCTGTAGCTCTTCTAAGGTTACTGTCATTCACAAGCCCTGGTAAATAAGAAGAGTTGGGCATGGAGTCAGAAACCTCATCCCGTAGGAAACTAACTTGCTAAACAGACGTTAATAAGAATAAACAAATTAAACCATTTAAACTCTGCATTGGTAGTAGAAGAAAAAATTATGACGCCTTATGATAAAAGCCGAGGTTCTTGGGAAGTAACGAAGCCGATCTCCTTCCCAACAACCAGAGGAACTAATAATAAGATACATGAAACTCCCGAACAATGTGGGAGACTGGGAGGACCAGTCAAATAGTAAGTAAGGTTACAAAATTCTGTAGAAAGCACTCTTTTTCTATAATCACACATAGTTAACATTCGTGCAGTGGAACAAAACGTGTTCTATTTAGCGAATAATAGTATATATATATAAATATTGAACATCAAAATTCTTCGAGAGATTTTATTAAGTTATTAGACGAATTCACTCTCTTCAGTTTTATTCTTCTTTTTATGCTAATTCAATTGAATCTCCTGGATGTAAGGTTTTTGATTCCAAATTTTTTATTTGTTTTTTAGCTATAAGAAGAAAATTTAAACAAAAATATGGAAAGATTTGAAGAGTAATTCAATATTAAAATTCATTTATTCTAATGTAAAACGTAAAATGTCAATGGGAAACTAACTAGAAGTTGAAAGAAAGCACTGGATAAGGTTATATTTAAGTTTAGATATCTCTATATATGACCGATAATATACCGTATTTTGTGAATCATAACAATTTTATATTCAGAAGGGGATTTGTGGAGATTTCAGTATATTTCAAAGTTGAAATCATGAGTCAATTGAAGCTAGACCACCATCGAAAACCTGGAAGCACTGGACGGCCGTTTCGTCCTACTATGGGACTCCTCAGCAGTGCGCATCCACGAACCCGCTCTCGCGAGCGAGAGCGGGTTCGTGGATGCGCACTGCTGAGGAGTCCCATAGTAGGACGAAACGGCCGTCCAGTGCTTCCAGGTTTTCGATGGTGGTCTAGCTTCAATTGACTCATGATTTCAACTTTGAAATTTTATATTGATTAATCATCAATATTTTACTCTATCTCTAAGCTTGAACCCGTACCTAACCAGACACAGATTATGTGACATACATAAACTTTCAGTACAACTGTTTAGTAGTTATTAAAATAGTTATTAAGGTTATATATCTACACTTTCAAACTTTCATGTTTCTTTTTCTTTTCTTCACCTGTTTTTTTTTTCTATACTTGATTATATAATGAGTGAAATTTGAACCCTGTCACTTTTTTAATGTATAATTAGTTGTGAATAGTGAAGTATTACATAGATTATTCTTTAATAGAAATCACAGTACAATAGTACAGAAATTTTTCAGAAGAATTGACAGTGACGTTGAATCATTCTATATCTGTTAATAGGATTATTTAAATCTAATTTTGTAGGCGATTGTATAAAAGGAACTAGACCTACGAATACTGTCAATGTATGCCATACACTAATATTTAATGTTTTATTTCAAAGTTGAAATCATGAGTCAATTGAAGCTAGACCACCATCGAAAACCTGGAAGCACTGGACGGCCGTTTCGTCCTACTATGGGACTCCTCAGCAGTGCGCATCCACGAACCCGCTCTCGCGAGCGAGATTCGAACCCAGGACCTACCAGTTACGAGCCAGAGCCCTTAACCGATAGACCACTGAGCTGGCATCCAACGGTGTTAATGTCTAACTTCAACTGATCCACGAATTATGAGCGACACTTCACCAATTGCCTTCAGTGAGTTGTTATCTCACAACAGACGTGGTTGAACTCCACTGGTCACTGCTTCCCACTAGAACTCCAGGACATGTATCTTGAAGTCAGTCACTAGTGAGCATATGATTATAATCAGAAGGGGATTTGTGGAGATTTCAGTATATTTCAAAGTTGAAATCATGAGTCAATTGAAGCTAGACCACCATCGAAAACCTGGAAGCACTGGACGGCCGTTTCGTCCTACTATGGGTGTTTTATTATGAATTTCATATTAAATGTTATTCAATGGATGCTTTCAGTTTGTGTTATTTTAAAAGAACTTTTGGTTTTATCTAATTACTGAATGACTAGTTGTTTAAAAATTAATATTTTCTTTATGAAATTGAAACAATCGGACAAGTTAGTTGTGACAGAAGAACATAGTTCCATTGTTCATTTAATATCTAATGCAAAAGTTCCGAAATGGTTAAAATAAGTTTTAATGGTTTTTATTATTATTTTATTTGAACACATAGATATTGGTACAAGAAATCATCAGATACGTATGCGCCACACAAATCTCATTCGATTTGCGTGAGGGCTACGAAATTACCCAGGTGCCCAGACCTAAACAGGTGGTTTTCTTAGGAGGCCCACACCAGAAGCCTTTGACCTAAAGGTCTAACCCACAAAGCAGTGGAGCATCGTAAGGAGATGCAGTCCCATGGTAGCCGATGACCAACGATTGATTCATACGCCGTTTGTTCCTTCAGGATACTGGAGCTCATATGCACCATTGGTTTGGAATGAGGGTTTCTCAACTCCCCTAGGTGGACTTTCCATGTCCAGCAACCCGGTTAAAGCTCCGGATATTCGCTTTTCATCCTCTCAATTTCGTAAACAACACCCCTGATGTGAGAAAACAATGAGTAGGACTTCCCTGTCGGAGGCTATATACGCGTGGCCATGCGAGAGCATTTGGAGAGGGAGAGAGGACTGTCTCCACTCTCGGCCATACCAGGGCATTTGAGTGCAGTTTTGATGTAGACACGTAATATTTCTACAAATTAACTGACTTACGATTAAATTTGCTATTATTAATGTAAATGGTTTATGTAGTTCAATGCTTAAAGTACATAGAAGTTAAGATTCCTTAACTTATGTAAATTTTAAAGTCGACATAATATCTCATGGAATGTTGGGCATTTGTTTCACTGGAAAATTTTCATTCTATATCCTGAAATACTTATTTTTCAACTGAAAATACTATAACGTTCAAATAGCTAAGCCATAGTGTTATCTTAATTGTGATGACCGACATGATTGAAGAACTGTACTAGACACTGTAGAAAAAGTCACAATTGTTTTAGTTATTATCGATTATTGATATGTATAACAAAGAAATAAAATGAACATTGTATAAATAACATGAATGAATCATCTTAATATAACATAAAAAGTGAACTAACCTTCTCTACGAATCACATCTGCCAAATCAGGGAAATGATTAGCTAAAGCTAAATCTGCTGGTTTCTGACCAAAAAGATTTAATTCCAGAAGATTTGCCCCATTCTTGATAAGCCATTCGACCGTGTCTGGAAATAATGAACGAATTAGATTAGATTAGTCGAACATAATGAAGAATATCAGAAAACATTGTGATATTTTACAGTAATAATCACATCAAACAAAAAGCCTTACATGAACACGTCGAATTTAGTCTTATAAAGAATTATAATAAAAAAGGGGTTTTGTAGATGTTATAATAATTTAATAGTCGAATTCACGATTCAACCGACGCTAGACTATTGTGGAAAACCTGGGAGCATTGGACGGCCGTTTCGTCCTAATGTGGGACTCCTCAGCAATGCGCATCTACGATCTCGCTTGCGAGATTTGAACCTTGGACCTTCCGGTTCATGGTGGTCTAGCCTTAATTGACTCATGAATTCAACTGTTAAATAACTATAATATCCACGAACACCTTTTCTGATTATAATCATCATATTCTCACTAGTGACTGGCTCCATCAGGTATTTCCTGAAGTTCTAGTGAGAAGCCGTGACCAGTGGAGTTCAACCGGGTCTGTTGTGAGGTAGTAATTCACTGCAGACAATAGTGGGTGGTGGTGCAATTTCATGAATTGGTTGGAGTTTAATATTAACACTGTTGGATGTCGTCTCAGTGGTCTAGAGGTTAAGCGCTCGTGCGCAAAATCGGTAGGTCTTAGGTTCGAGTCCTGGGAGCGGGATCGTGGATGCGCATTGTTGAGGGATCCTATACAAGAATGGAACGGTCGTTCATTCGTTCCAGATTCTCCATGGTGGTCTAGCTTTAACTAACTCATGAACTGAACTATTAAATTATGAAGAATCGAGCAAAAAGTGTGCAGCTTAATATGAAACTGTTACCTGATTCGACAAAGATAAATTAAATACTTTAATTTTGTGTGGTTTATAAATTTAGTTCAGGATATTACATAGTAAGTCCTCGTTAACTTACTAGTGAGTTATATATATATATATATATGATCTTAATTAAAATGTCCTTGTTTGCTGATTATCTGGCTGATCACTGAGATGGTCCTTTCATATCTACTACCACCTGCCGTCTAAAAAACTGTACATCATGAGAACGACATTTGATAGTTCCACAAGGAATCTGTAAAAGTTATATAACTTTTTTACTTAAAATCAATCAACAGAAAACGAAAACGCTTGTTCCCATTATCGTAAAACAATTCTGAAACAGATTTTTTACAATCTGTAAATGAATACCCACCCATTTCATTTTTAAATCCATATATTAACTTACCGCTATGTCCATTTCTTGCCGCATGGTGAACAGGTGAACAATTCATTGAATCCATCTGATTCACATTGCAGCCATGTCGGATAAGCACCTGAATATATTGGAGTAAAGATGGTAAAATACTTTTAAAGTATTGAATCAAGTATGTAAAAAAGATAGAAAGTTATATATAAACTAGTGAACTGACTTTAAACAAGAATTTAGTATCGTTTGCACGTTAATGGTAGGGAAAAATAATTGGCAAAGTTTAAGATTTCATTTTCGTTTATATGAATAAATATGATATTACGGTCAGTTACATAACTCTTTAAGGAACAAAATCATTACATTATTCCTGTTAGTATTCTGACAACTCAACAGAGCAATCCGTGAAGTAACCTGGAAATATGGGGCATATAATGAAACTGGAAAAAATATGTTTCCTACAGAATATTATCTAAAGCTAAGAAATTCCTTTACAGATCCTATTCTACGGTAAATAGTTCTTCTAAAATGTAGTCCATTGAATGAATCAGTAAGTAGTCATATCATTCGTAAAAAGTGTACATGGACTAACTTGAAAGAAACCAGTTTAAAGTTCACTGTGTAGTCAGTAAAATGTATTAAGAGTATTTTGAGCACGACAGTTAGAAACAACCAAGTGGAATTCTACAATTTAGGTCATACCATTTTTTGGATTGCATAAAATAATTTCAAGTGTAAATTTATGTTTTATTTTATCCGTTTCCTTTATTAGATAGATAATAATTGGTGACACCTTAATAATCATGACTCGTTCATATCACATTGTGGATACAGTCTTAGGGGTGACTATATCTCAAATGCCTATATACCTATTTATGGAAACTCGTATTATGGTGTGGTCTATTTATATCCATATAAGTAGTAAATGGCGATCGTCAAACGTAGAATGTATTTTGGCAGAAGACCGATGAAGAAAGAACAGAAATGAAGCGCAATTAGTAGGAAAATGCATGAACAATCAAATTAGAGAAGATGAACTGATATTTACAGAAGAAATAGTGAAGATTGAGACAATTGATTGTTATTTTGCAAATTAACTGTTCATTGTATGGTTATTAGAATTCAGTGAGATAGTCTGTAATTTCTGCTTAAATACATTCGGTTGTCCCCATTCGTGTTCTGTTCATTACGGTATGACTCAGTCAAATTGTTAAACTTAGTGACAATACAATCAAAACCGAAAAATGTGAGAGTCAAAAAGCTCAAAATCGATTTGTGAAACTATCATTTTATAAAAGTTAAACATCATGTGTTAATTTTGATAAATTATTTTCTATGCCGCCGACTTCAAGAATTAACTTAGTTGTGTAAACAACTGAATATTACTATAGGAACTGAAAGCAATCAAAAATTCTGATGGAGTTTCGTTCTCTAAGCTAGATCGTTCGATCGTGGGGCTTTCATCGTCCTTCTGAACGACATCATCTGCACAAACTTCAGGTAGAAGTTCTTTCTTTTTTTGTAATCAACTCTTAAGACATTCGGAATCACATTGAATTATACCAAACACTTTGTGGCCTAAAAATGTTAAGAGTTACGGTTTGTGAGTATGTTAACTGGTAAAGATTCTAGAGAGCTAATTACATCAACAGTTTTCTGAATAGAGCTGAAGAAAATAAAGAAGAAAGACCATGTTAAGATAATCTCAGGAAATGGAGTACAAACAGTATAACTCACCTCTAAACATTTTGGATTTCCCCAAGCTGCAGCTGCATGTATAGGCATCATTCCAGTTAATTCATCTGAATACAACGTTACCTAATCAAGTTATATTTATTGAAAGACACTAAATATCAAAATAATTTATACTGAAACAAATGCATTTGGTTAATATTACTTACTTACTTACGCCTGTTACTCCCAATGGAGCATAGGCCGCCGACCAGCTTTCTCCAACTCACTCTGTCCTGGGCTTCCTTTTCTAGTTCTATCCAGTTTTTGATCATTCTTCTCATGTCTGTCTCTATTTCTCGGCGTTATGTGTACTTTGGTCTCCCTCTTCTCCTTTGACCTTCAGGATTCTATGTGAGGGCTTGTCTTGTGATGCAATCAGGTGATTTCCTCAAGGTGTGCCCAATCCACTTCCAGCGCTTCTTCCTGATTTCTTCCTCTGCTGGAATCTGGTTTGTTGTCTCCCACAGTAACTTATTGCTGATAGTGTCTGGCCATCGGATCCGAAGTATCTTGCGTAGACAGCTGTTAATAAACACTTGTATCTTCTGGATAATGACTTTCGTAGTTCTCCACGTCTCTGCCCCATACAGAAGAACTGTCTTGACATTTGTATTGAAAATTCTAACCTTGGTGTTGGTTGACAATTGTTTTGAGCTCCAGATGTTTTTCAGTTGTAGGTATGCTGCTCTTGCTTTGCCGATCCGCGCCCTCACATCTGCATCTGATCCACCGTGTTCATCAATGATGCTGCCCAGATATGTAAAGGTTTCCACATCCTTCAAAGCTTCTCCGTCAAGTGTAATTTGATTGGTGCATATTGTATTGTATCGAGAGCCTTGCTTTTCTCTTTGTTTATATTGAGACCTACTGCTGCTGAGGCTGCTGCTACACTGGTCGTTTTCTCCTGCATTTGTTGTTGCGTTTGTGATAGAAGAGCCAGATCATCCGCGAAGTCTAAATCGTCCAGCTGCATCCTGCCTGTCCACTGTATCCCGTGATTTCCTCCAGATGTTGACGTCTTCATGATCCAGTCGATCACCAGGAGAAAGAGAAAGGGTGAGAGTAAGCAACCTTGCCCAACACCGGTCTTTACTTGAAACGAGTCGGTGAGTTGTCCTCCGTGGACGATTTGGCAGTTTAGTCCGTCATAGGAGTTCCGTATGATATTGACTATCTTCTCAGGCACGCCGTAGTGTCGAAGAAGCCTCCATAGTGTCGTCCTGTCCACGCTATCAAATGCCTTCTCGTAGTCGATGAAATTGATGTAGAGCGATGAATTCCATTCGATTGATTGTTCCACAATGATCCGCAGAGTTGCGATTTGATCTGTGCACGACCTATCCTTACGAAATCCAGCCTGTTGATCTCGAAGTTGGGCGTCCACGGAATCCTTCATCCTGTTTAACAATACTCGGTTGAAGACTTTCCCTGGTATTGAGAGAAGAGTGATGCCCCTGTAGTTGTCGCACTTGCTCAGATCGCCTTTCTTTGGTATCTTGATCAGAAGTCCTTTTTTCCAGTCTGTTGATACTTGTTCTTCGTCCCAAATCTTGCTGAATAGGATGTGGAGTATCTTGGCAGTTGCTGTTACATTTGCTTTCAGTGCCTCTGCCGGGATGTTGTCTGGTCCCGCTGCTTGTCGCTCTTGACTTGTCTAATAGCCATGCTGATCTCTTCAATTGTTGGTGGGTCAATATCGATTGGGAGGTCTGTGGGTGCTGCTTCGATGTTGGGTGGGTTCAGTGGGGCTGGTCGATTCAAGAGTTCTTTGAAGTGTTCTACCCACCTGTTTCGTTGTTCTTCAATGTCGGTGATTACTTTGCCTTCCTTGCTTTTCACTGGTCTTTCTGGCTTATGGTAATTTCCAGCAAGTTTCTTTGTTGTATCATACAGTTGTCTCATGTTTCCCTCTCTTGCAGCCTTTTCCCCTGTCATCGCTAAATCTTCCACATATTTACGTTTGTCGGTTCTGATGCTCCTCTTCACTTGCTTGTTTGCCTCTGTGTATTCGGCTTGTGCCTTGGCTTTTTCCGCTCTGGTTCGGCTGGTATTGATTGCTGCCTTCTTGTTCCTCCTTTCTTCTATTTTATCCAGTGTATCAACAGTGATCCATTCCTTGTGATGGTGCTTCTTTTGGCCCAGAACCTTTTGACACGTTGAAACGATTGCCTCCTTGATACCTTTCCAGTTTCTCTCCATGGTAGTTCCCTCTCCATTGAGTAGATCATGAAAGGCCTCGAACCTGTTGCTGAGGGCTATGTTGAATTTGTTGAATTTGTCAGCATCTCGAAGAAAGGCCGTACTAAACTATTGTGATGTTGTCCGCGCCATTGTCCACTGCTTCTTGAGTTTTAGTTTCATCTTGGCGACCAGCAAATGGTGATCGGATGCTATATCAGCTCCTCTTCTGGTTCTCACATCCTCCATCGTCCTCCTAAACCTTTTCTTGATGCAGATATGATCGATTTGATTCTGTGTAGTGTGATCCGGTGAAATCCAAGTGGCTTTGTGTATGTTTTTGTGTGAGAATATGGTGCCACTTATGACCAGTTTATTGAAGGCACATAGGTTTGCAAATCTCTCACCGTTTTCGTTCCTTTCTCCCAGTCCATGTTGTCCCATGACGTCTTCGTATCCAGTGTTGTCCTTTCCAACCTTAGCATTGAGATCTCTCATTAGAATTGTCAGGTCCTTGGTTGGGGACTTCTCGACGATCGACTGCAGCCTATCGTTAATATTAGCAAAGATTAATACAGCTGATAAACAGCATCCAAGTTATGACCATTGGATTAATCAATTTTTGATTGAATGTATGTGTTTCAGTTCTATTTCTATCGAACCCATTTATCGAACTCTAATCTCATCTGGGTTTATAGTGAAAATCATAGACAAATGGTTAAATAATGATCATATTAATTATAGAAGGGGTTTCGTGGAGATTTAGTATTTATCATAGTTGAAAGCGTGAATCAATTGAAGCTAGACCGCCATGGAAAACCTGGAAACACTGGACGGCCGTTTCGTCCCATTATGGGACTCCTCAGCAGAGCACATCCACAAACCCGTCCTGGGTTCGAATCTCGCGAGAGCGGGTTCGTGGATGCGCATTGCTGAGGAGTCCCATAATAGGACGAAACGGCCGTCCAGTGTTTCCAGGTTTCCCATAGTGGTCTAGCTTCAATTGACTCACACTTTCAACTATGGTAAATATAATGATCAGTTTATTTGAAAAGGGTTAAGTTATCGTTTTTCATGTTTATCGCACTTAACCTGTCTATTAACTGACTGATATATACTCTTGGTGAATTGACATTAACAGAATTGAATTATTGCTCTTTCATTGTGACTATTGGTAAGTTCTTTGTCAGTATTAGTAAACGTTGGCGAAAAATCTAGTTTTGCAACTTTCTCTGGTTGCTGTTCGAGGAATTCAGGAACTGAAGAGTGGTTTTTTGCAAATTATTTGCTTGTTTGTTTCTCAGCAATAATGATAATTTTCAAGTGAAACTTTTATTGAACTCCTGAAATCACTGGACGGCCGTTTCGTTCTAGCATGAGACTTCTAGCAGTGCACATCCATAATCCCACACATGGGACTCAAACCCAGGACCTTCTGTGTCGGGTGAATGCTTAAAATCAAGTCTGTTGAGCCGACGTCAAGCATTGTCAATGTCTAACTTCAACCGATCGACGATATTATGCGACTATCTTCCAATATCTTCAGTGTGTAACTGTCTCATACCCGACAAAAATGAACTCATCTAGTCATAGCTTTTCGCCAGATCTCCAGAAGCTGCTTCTTGAAGCTCGTCACTTGGACGTGGAAATGGGACCATGGATTGAAAGGAATTCAACAATCTCCACAACAACATTCTGACAACAATGATTCTGGTTACTAGCCGTTGAATGTTTCTCATTTTTGAAATATTTTCCCAAATAAATACAATTTACCCGCTGAATTCACTCCAAAATGCTTTGCGTCTTATTTAAACTCATGATTTTATAATCATTTGTACGTAAATAAACAAGTCTATGCATATTGAACTTTTATCAGGATTGTACTCTGGTATTTATATACTGAACCATCACATTTATTTGTGAAAATTAAAATAAACTACTAAAATAAAAAAAGTAGACACATCATGTTTTGAAAATTATTTAAGACAACAAACAAGGCAAATTAGTGAATTAGTACCAACTTCGGTTTCATAGAATTACTGTAAATAAGTGTGCTAGAAACAAGCGAAATGTAAATCCAGATTTTCAGGCTTCATTATATCAAGAGTTTTTTGGTTTAAATGAAATAAATCACACTATACCAAAAACGTTAGTAGATTTGGTAACTTACATCGAATTCATCTAGTAGTTTGTCCAATATTTCATGGTGCCCATAGATTGCTAACCTCAAAATAAAATAGAATTAACTAAGTGGTTAGTTAAGAATAACCCTATCAAATGTGCGGTTTTATCACTAAGAATTAGTGTACACATAACAATATTTTATCACTGAAACCATGAACCAATCAAAGTTAGACCACCGCTGAACACCTAGAAGCAAGTGATAACTGTTTTGTTCTAATATGGGAACCATAAGAAGTGTATTGGATGCTGCTCTGGTGGTCTAGAGGTTAGGCATTCAAGTGAGACTGTAGGTCCTATGTTTCTTTCCCATGAGCTGAGTCCTAAATGAACACTAATGGTGAGCCCCATACTACAGTGATTCCAATTTTTCACTGACATTTCACTAACATTGATCAGTTCATGATTTTAACGAAATTCAACGAATTCCATAACCCTGTACTTACAATATTGCATCAGTCATTCTGCTATTCTATCGATCTTCATATTAAAATTTTAGTAGCGACTTTCTAAAAGCACTTAGTGTTTGTTAACGTCTTAAGGTATCTGAACCACAAGAGAATATCTATTTATGTCCCTTACCAAAAGTTGTCCGGTGTTTTTTATCTAGGCTACTAACTAGCGATATACATTCATTGTACATCAGGTATTAATTACTTAAAAATTCCAACAATTCAACGGATGAGTCCACTTTTACTAAAATTCAAGTATATTGTATTACAACATGAATAAATCCATAGTTATGTTGTACAATCTATTTAGTTATCAGATGTCTAGGAGTCGTTGATGGGGTTTGTGAAGATCATTCAATCTAAACTTGTTTTTCACAACAAAACTGAAAACGACTATAAAACTATTGAAACCTAGCTTGGTGCTTGGTGATTTTTAACTATTATCTGTTTGTCAATGGGGAAGTTTTATATGCCGATAAGAATAATGAATGGTAACTATTCGGATTTAATTATGGACCAATACTAAGCGTATATTTTTATAATAAAATTGTTAAATAACTAGACTATTCATATTCATATCCCTCTTATTATGAGCTTTATTTTGACCTATGAACTATCATTATACGATTTACCATTCTTGAATTATGCCCTGTCTGTCAATTACTATCTCCCTAATTCACAGCCACATTTGGCTTAATTTTATACAAATGTTGTTTCCTATTTTATGGTACGGTGTGGTATGTCTGGTTGGTATATAAATCCAGTATGTTTGAAATAAATGATTCATGTTGCAGAAGCTGAGATTGGTGTTCTGGACTTGACTGGCCGGGCTAGGCAGAAAGCAGGACCAATAGGTACTCCAGACTGCTCTCATGGGTTTTATTCATCATTGCTTACTTACTTATTTACGCCTGTTACCCCTCATCGAGGAGCATAAGCCGCTCATCAGCATTCTCCATCATTAGTCCGATCGATAATTTACCGTTCTCCAATTTACGGTATTATCACGTTATACATTAACAGGGCACATAGGCAACAAGTTATAACAGGAAGTTGATTATTTTAAGCTGAACAATCTCTACAAATATTGTCGGTTTTTTAGTTTGAAGATAATAGGATATAAAATGAATCATCCGAATTTCCGAATTTCTGTAGCTTCGACGAATTAAGTTATCTTGAAAGGTGTATTCATAGAATAGTCAGATAATCTGTTTCCAAAATCCACCATAAGAAATTTGTGTTAGATTTTGGATCCCTTAACGATAATACCAGATACGCTATATACTATAAATAACTAGATACTTCATAAATATACATAAATATCTGATAAGAATCAATCTGCCTTAAATGTTCGTTGATTTGGTACAGAATATATGAAGAAACTTATTAACCATTAATGAAAATTTCGAGACCATTTACTTAATTCACAACTCCGCTTTTAGCCTCTCTGGCAGCTACTGCCGGTCCCAAGCCCGGATAAAGGATTAAATGCTGGGCATGAGGTTAGCGACCACATCCTGTAGAAAACTAACTCGCTAAAATTCGCCAACTAGAAAAAACTATTCAATCCATTTAACTTCTTCCCTGGGAGTCAGAAAGTCTTCATTTACAATCGTTATGACACCTCATTCTGAAAGCCGAGTTTATTCGGAAGCGACGAGGCCGATGCCCCTTCTGACAACCAGAGTAGCCATTTATATAGGTACATGGAATGCTCGTACCAGGAGAGTATTCCAAATTGCCGCGGAAATGAGGAGATACAACCTGGAAGTGCTTGAGATCAGTGAAACACATTACTTAATTCACAAACTTGACCATCCATAAAGATAAATTACAGAGAATGCCAAGATTCTAGAATCCGAAGCTTGCTTTGATTTATAATCATCAGTCTAACATTTAAACATTTCTGGAAACAGATTAGTTCATTAAAGTAGACTGTAAACAATTGTTTAATTTAACATCTTTCTTACTAAGCGGAAACTTTAAACTTCAAAGAGAATTAGTAACTCCAACTTTGATTTTTAGTAAACTACAATCAATTTTATGGATTAATTTGACTCTCATTACTTCTCAACCTGAATATTATTAGTTATTGATCTAAAAAGGAAACTATTCGAACAAGTTTTATAGTTTATAATCCTGGAGATGCAAAAATCTGATCAAAATTCATATTGTGGATTTTTAAAAAATAAAATGTAACAAACTGGAAGAAAGCTAGGGACGGCCAAACCAAAACGTGGCACAATTCCATGAAGTCACTGACAAGTGGACTGAGCCATGTCGGTAGATGTAGACCACCTAGTTGGGATTCGCGAGATGATAACAATCAACAGTTAGAGACCTTGAATGACATGGCTCAAAATCGTTTGCAATGGCGAAGGTGCATCCACTCTTTGTGTTCTTCCAAATTCTCATCTTCTGAATTCCTCATGTCCCTATCCTTTTTCTCTTTTCAAATTAATTTCACTGGATTATACTCCTTAAATAACATTTTCAAACCCTAATCTTTCACATTAATGCTTATACTCTTCCTACCTCTACCACTATGGGATTTGAATGGACAACTGCATCTGTGTGCTAATGTGGTATGGCAACTCGAACTGATGTACGTACGTATGAAGTTGTACGTTGTGACTGACTGACTGAACAAACTGATAAGTTTGAAACGATCAGTTATTTTTACAATATAGTTGAAATCATGAGTCAATTGAAGCAAGACCACCATAGAAAACCTAGGAGCATTGGACGACCGTTTCGTCTTATTATGGGACTCCTCAACAGTGCGCATCTCCACCAAATCTCCTTCTGATATTTTCACAATAATTTGAAAGTGAAATGACAAATGGAAGCTTATTTTGTAAATAAGATGGATTTCAGCATTACATTTCGTATAATGAGATTATACATTTACTTTTATGGTAATTTATAGGACTAGAAAGTCATTTAAATTAAAAAGGTCAAATAGATAAAAGGAAGCGCTAATTAAAGATACGTATTCAGTTATTTAGAAAAACCCCATGTGATCAATCATCTTCCTTTATTAGAAAGGATATAAATGAAACTGGTCATAAGATTGACCTAGTTGGCTCATTCATAGTTGTGTGATAGCCTCAACTGTTAAAATATGCATGCCTATTTTATGTATGAAAAATCATATTGTATTTCGATCCATTCTAGTGATTCAATAATCAATATTAATATTAGAAATTATCTTCAGTTATATAATATACCCTTATGGGCCAGGATAATCTTGCACTGGTTTTCAGGAGAACCAGACACCATCCAGACTTTCTCGAGGCAACCCAAACAGTACAGCTCAATCCCGCCCTATAGGAGAACCGGACACTATATAGGCTTCAACGCTACAGTCCGAACAGTACGGCCCAATCCTGTGGAGCAACCACTCAGGTACCAAACAACCTGGTGGACTAGAGTTATCTTATGACTTCTTAATTTTTCTTCATCATACCATCTATCTGTAGTATATTTCTATTGATCAACATTCATGAGACATTTCTTGGTTTTCATATAAAATATCATAAGGAGAAAATATACATTCAAACTGTTTAAACTTTATCACATGACTACATCTTGTTTAACAGTTTGATTTCGTTTTCTTATTACATTTTCGAAATCGAAAAGAATTTGTTTCAGAATTATTGAAATAAAATCTTCTATATTAATAATAAAGGCGAAGTTATTCTTTTTATTATAGCCGCTGCCTTAAATCTATGTATGTATCTTTGAGAAAACAATTTATTGCTATGGTGCGAGACTGGTAGGTCTTGGGTTCAAATCTTGCAATGCAGGATCGCGGATACACACTGCCGAGGAGTCCCACAATAGAATGAAACGGCCGTTCAGTGCTTCTAGGTTTTCAATGATGATCTAGCTTCAATTGACTCATGATCTCATCTATAAAATTTATTGAAATTTAGGACTATTTTAAAATAATACTTCTAAAAGTTGATCTATCATTAAGGTCGGATTAATGACTACAGTATCATACAAAAAGTATGACTAAATCTGAAAATATATTTGGTTTACTTGACTACATAAAATGTTTTCCTTCTTTCCTATGAGTTTAATGAATTCAATGACTAGTTATACCAAACAATTGAGTATATTCACAATTGAACCACTCTAACCTACCTCTGGCTTACATTTTAGTCAAATGATTGAAAATGGGATGAAAAACTATTATAAGAAATGAGATCAAAAGGCATTGATAGTTCAAATATCTTAATCAAGTCAATATAAAATAATTTACGGTAAACAATTGTCAATTTCTATTGACATCTACTACTTATCTATCTTTGGTAAATTAACTAGGAATTGGTGTCATCATATTTTCATAGTTGAAAGCGTGAGTTAATTGAAGCTAGACCACCATGGAAAACCTGGAAACAATGGATAGCCGTTTTGTCCTATTGTGTGACTCCTCAGCGGTGCGCATCCACAACCTCGCCTCGCGAAATTCTAACCCAGGACCTACCAGTCTCGCGCCAGAGCACTTCCCTGGCATCTGAGGAGCAGTCCCACAATAGGCCGTCCAGTGCTTCCAGGTTTTCCCTGGTGGTCTAGCTTCAATTGATTCACGCTTTGAACCATGAAAATACTGAATCTCTACAAAAAAACTCCTTTATCATATTTGTTGAGTCATTTTCTTAGTGACATAGAATTAGTTATTCAATAATTTTTATTCAAAATGGGTAATCAGTTCAGATATAGAGTTTAATTTGGTTAGTATTTACAAGATAACATAAGAATAATTATCACATACCTGCTATATATGCTTTTAGACCGATTCTTCTTTGTTCAGTAGTATCATCTATAAATAGACAACAAGCTTATTAAATAATGTATCCTTAAAAAACAAATTGGGTTTCTATTTAGAGCTCATCGTTAACAAATAGCTATAAATTAAAGTTATATTATGTTCGGCTATTGAAATTTAAATGAGTGTAGTGAAGTATAAAGTAAACATAAGATTAAATAAGTAGATGTTGCTAAATAATAATTGCAAGATTTTAGTAGATAGGTGAACAAAAATGGGTTTACTTCTTTGAATAAGCAGACATTATGAATATGAAAGCTGTGACAATCTGTCATTCATCATATTTAAGTTAGTTTTATCAACATTTCCAGATAAGAATCGAGAAACAATTAGTTTAATAGTAAGCAGAGATGGATAGTGGCTAGCAGTGGAATCCAGTTTGACGCGCGTTTCGTCCTATTTGGGACTCGTCAGCTGGATGTACCTGCATCTCAGAGTTGATGTTCACTCTGGGACTCGAACCCAGTACCCTAGCTTCAAACGCCATCGCGTTATCCACTCAGCCACTGATGGGAAGATCCAAACAAACAATACTAAGTGAATTCAAATTTCACCCCATCGCACAAGCAAGTGGCTATCAGGACTCAGTGGCCGAGTGGATAACGCTATGGCGTTTGAAGCGAAAGATACTGGGTTCGAGTCTCAGAGTGAATATCAACTCTGAGATGCAGGTACATCCAGCTGACGAGTCCCAAATAGGACGAAACGCACGTCAAACTGGATTCCACTGCTAGCCACTATCCATCTCTGCTTACCATGCTTATGAATTTAGGCTATATCAAGGCAATACTGACAGTATGCACATATGCCAATAAGAGACTGACCAGATGCACTCCTAAACATCAATAAGAAAATTCAAACAAACAATACCAAGTGAATTCAAGAGTAATGCTTGTTTGTAAAATGTTACAGAAAACTATCACTAATCAATCTAGTTCCATAATTACATTTTTAATAGGAAAATTTCAACAACCAAATTCATAATTAGCTAAGCACAACCAGAGTATTTGGAACTTTCAATGTAAGAAAATGTTAATGATTAAAACCATGAAATACATTCATTACCTGTTTCACTATCAAGACTCATTTTGAAAAAGTAAATGGATAACTAGTACCGCTTATTACTTCCAATTGATGAATTACGTGCGGTTCTTTTTTTTTCAAACTGATATTTAATGTTGAAATGATGAAATAGAACTTTTACATTGAATGTTACGTCTCCGCCCTTAATTCAAGTTTATTTAAAACAAATAGAATCTAATAAATTCACTCATGGTAACAGTAAAATTTAAAAAAAATCAAATAACCATAGGTTAAAATAGTTTTTTTTTTTTCAGATTTCCATGGTTTCAGTTATATGGATATTTAATTTTTTACTATTTTAAAAATAACAAAGGGGGTGTAAGAGATTTAACCATTTAAAAAAAAATTAACTTCTCTAGTGTATTTGGATGAGATTTTATTCAGAAAGGGGTTTGTGGAGAATTTAGTATCTTAATAATTGAAATCATGAGACAATTGAAGCTAGACCACCATGGAAAACCTGGAAGCACTGGACGACCGTTTCATCCTATTATGGGACTCCTCAGCACTGCTGAGGAGATTTTATACTATCCAAATTCACGATCGAATGATTGGATCGAAATTTCTTAGAATATTGATTGAATTATATTATTTTCAGAAAAATATAATAAATGGATTAAATCGATAAAATTTACTTCTGTGGAATATGTACATTGGGTTATACTACTAGGAATATAAAAGTAGAATAATACAGTTTTGAAAAACACCTATAACTATTGTCAAGAGGATTTAAATTGGTATTACTTGTTTGAATCTTCCCATTGATGTTTACGACTGCATCTGGACAGTCTCTTATTGGCATATGTGCATACTGTCAGTATTGCCTTGATATAGCCTTAAT